GAAGGATCGTTGACGGTTGGTCTGTAAGCCCTCAGTTTCTCCTCCATGAAGTCAACAGTAGCAGTACAATGGTATACATGCGCTTGAATTTCTATGACCTGAAAGCAGTGCACATACAGAATAGTATTGCATTAACACTTGTGTGAACAATGCCAACAGAACATTTAAAAGTGCAGACAAAGTGATAATATCCCAAAGAGGCATGAAGTGGTCTATGCCTCCTCTTGTCATGCATGCTTAAACACAACAAATATCAATTCTTTTAACACCAGAATGTGATAAAATTATGCCATGATGATTTGTTGATCTTGTATCAGTGTTAAGAAGTAAGAACAATTTTGGAGCTAATGTTGATGACACTCCGAAGAATATTTCTTTTAATGATAATACCTCCTTGATCCTTTGACGAAGGTAGGAAAAACTTTCAGAGGTCATGAACCGAAATGTGCCTCCAAACTTAACTGTCTCAGGGATCACATTTCCTGCTTGACCACCCTCAATGGATCCAATAGAAACCACCTTCACCAAAATAAAATAAAATAAAAACAAAGTCTCGGTGTTTCTTCGAACTTGACTTTGCAGGACCAATTGAATAGCACTAGCAATTTTAACATGTAAATTCTAATGAATGTTCTAAAGGAGAAAATACCCTGGCCTCTAGAGGATCAGTTTCTCGAGAAACAATCTGCTGCAGTGCAACAATTGCCATGGAAGCAGCAACAATTGGATCTCTAGTTTTATGAGGTGCTGCTGCGTGTCCACCTATGCCTTGAACTATTGCTGAAAACCTGCCTGATCCAGCTAGCATTGGACCTGGTCTTGAACCGACAGTACCTACAAACATCTCTGGGGAAACATGGAGGCCAAAAATGGCTTCAACCCCTTCTAGTGCTGCTTCTTGTAAGACATGATATGCGCCAGCATGACCTTCTTCACCAGGTTGGAAGACGAGCTTAACAGTCCCCTATGAATTTAAAGAGTAGAATATTCTGAATGCACCTAATGCATTTTAAGGCACAGGCTCAATGCTCATCTTTATTTCCAAAATTGGCTTTTCCTTGTTAAAATCTTTCGAAAGAGTAAAGGATTGGATATCATGTCCTACCTTGAGATTATTTTTGGTGTTCTGAAGCAATCTAGCTGCTCCAAGCAACATGGTGGTATGAGCATCATGACCACAGGCATGCATTTTACCATTGATTTTGCTTTTATGCTCCCAATCCACCAATTCCTACAAGTTGAGAGTATTGGAAAAGTATTAGATTCTGAACTAGCAGAGATACTTCATCCTTTTGACAGCAAATTTTACGAGCACCATCTAAAGCCCTCTTACTTCTATTAGATCACTGGGCCAGGCCTGTCGCTAAAATCACCTGATGAAGAGGTCAGGACTACCTTAACTCGTATACAGAATCTACTGGGGAAGACGTAATATACTAATTTATCCTCCTGCAAGCCTGCAACTCCAAACTCATCTCATCCCTGATTTCTTACTACACTAAGGACATGATTTTATACTACATTATCATTTCATCTTACAGAAAAGAAGGAAAGAGTCAAACGGTGTATAATTGCCTCCAAACCGTGCAAGGGCATGACACCTTATTCACCACAAATGGAAAGACCACTAGCATATCAAAATATATATATATATATATATATATCTACAGTAATCAAAAGTTTACAGTGTGAATATTTTGATGGTTGTTTAGGTAATTTGCCGGCCTTTGCTCAAACAATAGTCAATGATTCAATTCGTCGAAAATAGAAAAAACCAGAGTCATAAAAAACACAGAAAATTATTACCCCTAGTTACAAGGGTTGACCGATGATGTGAGAAAGAGGGAGACCTGAATAGGAAGGGCATCCATGTCTGCTCTTAGAGAAAAGAAAGGCCGATTTCCAGGCCCAATTGTCGCCACCACCCCGGTTTTAGCAACTGGCCAGGCGTACTCCACCCCGAGCGAGTCCAGCTCATCTCTGATGAGTTGACTCGTCTTGTGCTCCTCAAATGCCAATTCCGGATACTCGTGAATTCTTCTCCTAACCCTTTTTAACCATTCGAAGAAGTCGGACTCCCTTGCCGATTCCAACAATCCCCGAATCAGCAAGTCATCAGTCTCCGAAACCACCGTATTCTCCAGGGCCCATGATTTGCAGTAATAGGATGAATTCGATGACAGTAATATAGTCAATACACAGCGCCACCAATACTCTCTAAGCCGTCCCATTTCCAGTCAGCAACAAACACATCAATTCTTAGGCTTAGGTTTCTCCGTTTGGCCCATCGAACTCGTTTTTTACTTCTTTCACCTTAGTTACCGGATGAATTTGGAGGGACGTTATTATAATTTTATTTGGATGGATAGTGATAGATAATCAAAGCAACTTAGATTATAATGAAATTAAAATTCATGACCTTTAATTCTCAAGAATTTAATGTTAACCACTAAACTAATTAAGGGTCCATCGACATTGAATACTACTACGTCTAAGACTAATAGGCAGCAACAGCACATTAGAGATTTAGAGTAAACTTGTCATTAAGCAAGTGCTGATGTTAACTTGTTATTGAATAGGTGTAATAAGAGGGCTATCTATTTATATGGGTTAATAACAATTTATCCCCCTAAATTACAGGAGTAATCCTACTCACATTTGTTAAACTCCTTTGTGTACGTATAAATTAACTCTAATTTTACAATAAATAAATACTTACTAGGTACCTGTTAGCCAAAATCTTTACATCTCTAATTAAGAATATCATGAGTCCGCAGAAGCATAGCTTAACCTTAATGATACGGAACACTTACTGGATCCAATCGGATGCTACTGGTGCGGAACCCTTAATTGGATCCAATTGCATGCTTCATTTCTCATGCAGTTTGAGCTAAGCCAAACCACTCATCATGAAAGGATTAACAACGCTGAAACCTCCATCAACCACAAGTTATGTATTCTTCAGGATGGTTCCCTCCTCCAATGCCAGTCATCACGGCATAAGGCTGCTAAAAAGATGCATCCCTCGCTTTCCCGTACCATGACTCTTGCAGCCTGCTTGCCTCCTAGAAATGAGTCCACCAATTTACGGTCTTACACAAATAAGCGGGTCCAACTCTGACTTGGACGTTTCCAGGATATATACCAAACGCCAAGCCCTTCAATTATGTCAAGGTGGCCGTCTTTGGCTATGTATGGCGTGGTATCAATCAGACAGCTAACTTGATCCCCTTGCGCTACATCACAGTGAGAGTGTATATAGGATGCATTTTTGCCAAGCTTAAATTGCTCGCCGGCCCAGAGCATTGTCCAGGATATCGGCTACTATAGCACCATTGCCATGAAACAGGCGGGTACAGCTGGAACCTCCCGTAATAGTTTCCGCCTTTAGCGTCTATCCTCAATAAGGGGACGAAAATGGAACTTGCATTAGAGCGGTTGGTCGAAAGAGTGCTAGCAGTAATAGGACCAGCTACAGGTAGTTTTTCAAAATTTGCAGCCAAACAGATGGGAAAGTATCGAATCCATGCAACAATTAATTATATATCCATCTTAATGCTCTTCCAAAAAAATTTATTCATTTTTTGCGCAGTTCATTTCATGCCATCCAGACAGTGAAACATTTATTGGGAAACCCGTATAGCTAGTTTGTGATCTTGAAGTCGTAAAGAAATATAGAATTGTTTGCGCAATTTGTTTCCGTTCTAAAGTAATGTGATTTTTAGCTGAAGTAAACCGACCGGGCATATAAAAATTGGCTCAAAACGAATAGATAGCATCATTTTGTCCTTAATCAGTCTAAAATTTTGTAACATCTGCTAAGCTATTCATTGAACTGAAATACAAACCTTTCATTGGAGGAAGCAACTGACGGATCAGCGCTTGTCTTATCCTAAGGGATTGTACGGATATCAGCTGGCCCCCAGCCACGAGTTTGAAAAGAGAAGGAAGGAGCTAGGGATAAGAGAAGGAGCGACGTTGAAGTCTACCATGACAAAAAAATATTGGCATTTGAGTGATCGTTTTAACTTTTGTCATAATCTTAACTCATTTCCACCCCTCAAATTTTTCATGCAAGTCCAAGTATAGTAGACTTTTAGACAAGCTTAATTTTCAAGTATGTGGATTTAGTGGTCAATGAAATTAATTTCATAATTAGATGACGACAAAGCACGGTCTAGTTGGTAAGACGCTTTATCTGTAATTGAGAGATTCGATCATTAAGAAAAACTTAATACATTAATACAAAGTTATCTTAATTATTTTGGTACCAAGTGTATCTTGTTGAACTCATAAGCAGGGTAAAAGACAAACTGACCTTAAAGCAATCCTATCAAAATTTGAAATTTATGAGAGGAAAAGATCGAATCTACCACTCCATGATAGTTTAAAATGTCTACATCTACTAACTTTAGTGCTCAAATACGGTAATTATTTAGTAATGGTAATGATAGTAACATTAAATTATGGTTTGGCTTGCATGGCATATAATTGGAGTCTTTATTTTGATTGAATTGGGCAGGTAAGTTTGTGTACTGTCCTACTAAATATACGTTAAATACATCTCCATCCAACATTTCTTAAATGCCGTTGTCTTCACTTCACAGTGCCAGAATATCGGGAACGAGAAACCATAGGAGGAAAATCAACTTTCACTTTTGACGGGAATCGCTTCATTTTGAATTGTAATGGCCTATATCATTTGTTGCAAAAGAGGTGGTGTTGTAGACACCAAAGTCTTGTCTCATTTTTTTTTTTAATATTTGACATTTGCTTGAATTTTGTCTATTTAAGGGTCATTAATTTTATGCATTTATTTGCCCATATTTCTTGTTTTGTAGATTTTCTTTTGTTATAAAAAAAAAAGAAGGAGAAGAAAACATTTTACACTCTCTAATCATTTTTTCCTAGCAAAACCACTATTAACCCATTTTTACACTCAATATCCATTGACCTTTCTTTTCATTTTGGTAAAAGTCCATCATGTCACCCCTGGTTCTTTCTTGTCATTTGATCAACTAATTCCTTTGCCCCTCACCCTCGGCTCTCTCCTTTTCTTTTCCGCACAAAAGCCACTCTCACACACTCTCTTAACTCACGACACTTCCACTACACAAACACACGCAAAGAAGAAAAACTCCTCCACTCTCACTCTCGGTCCTCCTCACTTCAAAAAATTTCCAGCGCACTTCCATTACACAAACACACACCAATACAAAATCACTCCCCTCTCTCTCGGCTCCTTCCTTCTATAGCTACCTTCCTACAAACCATAAAAAAAAAAAAAGAAAAAGAAAAGAGAGAGAGAGCAAGAAAGGGTAAAATGCAAGATCAAAGTGAAGTTGGAAGCTCGTTGCCAGCGCCATTGCCACCATCGCCGCCATAATAATCTCTTTGTAAAACCATTGTAAGTCTCTCCTTTTACTTTTGATTTTGATTCCAACAAGATAGTTTTCTAAAAATTTGGTAAAGATTTAGTTGATTCTTATTTTATATAAAATTGGTTCGGTTCTTTTCTTCTTTCTTTGGCTTTGATGATCAATAATTTTGTGGGTCTTATGAAATGAATTGGTTGCTAGTGTTGTTGAAGTTTTTGGGACAAGTCATGAATAAAATAAAGAAAAAAGAATTGGTCCGTGAATGCATGTTAAGTGTTTGTAAAAATGCCATGATGAAAAACGAATTAAGCTAGTGAACTTTTTGTACTTATTTCTAGTGAAATAGATGGATATAGTTAGTATGTGATTTGAAAAATATTGAATTATTTAAATGTTTTGAAGTTTTGAGCTTTAGAAGCATGTAAATATATATTTTTTTTCATTTTGGGCTGTTTTGTTTTGATTCATCACTTTGTTGTTGTTTTTTTTGTTAAAATAAAATCATATAGTTGTATTGTAGAAGTTACAAGGAGTGTTGTAGTATAAATTTTATAATTTTTGGTGAAGGTTTGACTGCTTTAAAAAAATAAAAATTGGGCTGTCGTTTTGCTATTTCATCACTTTTGGTCCATTTTTTTGTAAAAACTAAACCAAAAAATGGATTCTACGCGAAAAATCGAGTGAGGAGTGTGTTTTGGTCAAATTCGTGACCGGAGAGTTAGCCGGCGACCGGTGACCGCCAGTGGCTGAAGTTTCAGCCTCACTGGAGAGAGAAAAAAAGAAGAGGAAGAAGAAGAAAAAGGAAAGAAGAGAGAGAAAAAAGAAAGAAAAGGAAAGAAAATAAATGAAAGGTTGGGCTGGTTTTTTATTTTCTGGTGGGCTAACGTTTTTTTTGTCGGGCTTTTGTCTGAGCTGTAGAGCTATTAGACACTTGGACTTGCATTTGATTTTAATAAAAATACCCTGTGTTTTCTTTTGGGCTATAGGGAGTCCGGCTCATAGTATTAAAAAAAAGAAAGAAGGCCCAATTTTTTATTTATTCATTATTACCCAAATCAGAAACAAATTTTGTACTTTAGCTCCTGATCTTTTGAGTAATTTTATTTTGGCCCAATATTTGTAGATTTATTCCACTTAGGATCTTAATTTAATTTCAATTTGATCCCTAAGCTTTTGAAAAATTATATTTTTACCACAAAATTTTCTAATTTTTGCAATTTAGTCTCACTGTGACTTTTTGACTCTCTTAATTATAATTTTTTTTCTTTAATACCTAATTATGTTATTTTTGAATGTATTCAACTTGTAATTTTTAGATATCCTTAAGTTTTTTTATGTTTGATATATTAATATGAATTTAGTATTATTATTATTATTATTTCCAATTAAATTGGTGCGATGATTCTTTTGTTCATTTTGAGTATAAATAGGGCAATTTGACTCTATATAGTGACTACTTCAAAAGGAAGATACCCCTATTATTATTTAAATGTCAATTACGTGCTCTTATGTGGTCATTAGGGGCGGGCAAAATTATCCGCTAAGCCGAAAACCTGTTATATCCGATCCGATCAAATCCGAAAATTAGGATATTCGATTTTTATTATTTGATCGAGTCAAAAGAGGATCGGGTATCCGCTAAGATGCGGGACGGGTTAGGGTCATATAATTAAAAATCCACGGGTACCCGATCCGTCCTGTATATATATATTTTTTATTTTTATTTTTATTTTTATACACACACTATAAAATAATAAATTAGAACTAAATAAGTAATTTTATTGAATAAATTGCATTACAAATATGAGAGACTATAGTTTATTTACAAGATTCATTTATAAAGGCCATGATCTTATATTTTATAGAAAAAAGCTTAATTAATGTGGAACATATATATTAAAAATTGTGCTACTTATTTCAAACTTTTATTGATTTTGAATTCTTTTAATTTTTTTTCTTTATCTTATATTCTCTTCATATGTTTGTTTCTTGGTGGAAAACCTTTTTTTAGAAAAAAAAATTATTAAATCTTAGATGAATGTGTAAAATATAAAATTAAATTGGTATAAATAATTTTTTTAAAAAAATTAAATGATAAATGAGGCAGGACGGGTACCTGCTGATCCGACCCTATCTCAGTGGGTATCTGTTATAGGGTACCCGCTGATATTTGGGGTGGGTAAGGGTCAGAAAATGGCTGACTCGCAAGGTGCTGGTCGAGTCAGCCAAATGGTGAATGGGGCAGGTACCCGATCCGCGCCCACCCTTACGGGTACCTGCTGATATTCGGGGTGAGTAAGGGTCAGAAAATGGCTAACCCACAAAGTGCAGGTCGGGTTAGCCAAATGGTGAATGGGCGGGTACCCGACCCGCATCCACCCCTAATGGTCATACGTGCTCCTCTATATTTATATATTTTTATATGCTTTGTTATTTATTTGATTCAAATGTTCATTCAAATTTTCTTATATTTGTTTAGTTAATTTTTATAATTATTTGGGAGGAATTTAAATACTTCAAGATGTAATAAATAGGTAATATTTTTAAAAAATTGTAATTAGATAGACAAATGTAATAGATAAGATAAACAGGTTTATTTTATTATATTTTTTCATTTTAGATTATAATTAGATTCCCTGTTGTAATAGACAGGATAGATTGGTTTATTTTATTATATTTCTCCATTTTAGATTGTAATTAGCCTCCCCGCTGTAATATGTAGGTTTTGTGTGTGTGAATAGCTTTTGTGTTATGTGCTTTATTCCATAGTTATTAAACCCGGCCCGGGGAGGAACCCGGTGAAGGAGGTGGGTCAACGGGTTATTGGTTCAACCGGTGGGTCAGTGGTCTAACCGGTGGGTCACTACATATATTTAAATATTATGTTTTATAATTTTTATGCCATAATAAATATTCAGTTAGTTTAATTTATTATAGATTCATTAATTTTTATAAGAATTAACAACCTAAATTTAATTAGTAATCCACCAAATTTCAAGTATAAAATTTTATCTAAGTATAATTATCTAGTTTATTTATGAATTTTAAGTGCAAAAGTTTATTAAGAATAATATTTACCATTAAAATGATTTGTGTAATATGTTATTTTTAAGTCAATTTCATAATTTATAGAGTTCAGGGAATAATAAAAATATTATTAAAAGATTTCAAATAAATTTTGTTTTGGAGAAATAAAATAAGAATAAGATTGTAATATATAATATAAGAACAAAGTAACTAATAAATTGTTGGTTGGTCCAACGGTAATGGTTGTCTTCTTCTTTGCATGAGGTCGCACGTTCTATTCTCAATTCCAGCAATGTTTACAAATTTTTTTCGAAGACCGGGTTTTTCATAAAATCGGCCGGTTCAACCGCCGGTCCGTTGAAAAGTCAACGGGTTCAATGCAGAAATCATAGTTATTAAAACCAACCCGGACATTAACCGGGCAAGAGGACCGGGTTGACGGGTCAGTGGTTCAACCGGTAGGTCACTGGTTGAACCGTTGGGTCACAATATATAATAAAAAAAATATATAATATAATTAAATAAACATGTAAATTATAATATAAGTACAGAAATTCTTAAATCTCAACAAGTTATAACCTATTCATAGTTCATAATTCATTTCACACACATAAATATAAGTATCAAACCATGAAACATAAGTCATAAACGACCAATTCAATACAACCAAACATAAAGTCATGAACATAAACAAAGCATCATAGAATTGCTCCAAGGTTTGTAGCTCATCAGTGAATGAATCTAAATTTGATTTGACAATTTGAAACCTTAAAAAGACACTGGCAACAATATCTACTTTTTGAACTAATATATCAATGACGGGTTCGAGGCAAGTGATTAAATATAGGTAATGAATTTAACCATGTTGAAATTAAATTCTCAGAAGCAAAGAGTATTAAATGGCACTGGAAATTTATGTAACTACACATGTTGAAGTTCGATGCAGAGGAAGAAGAAATAAATAATCATCCAAAAAGAAAGAAGAAACAAAATATTGCCTGCGGTCAGAGAATTCGGAGAGACTTAACTCCTTAAGAGAATAGGGAGAGAGACCGTCAAACTCCACAAGAGGATTGAGAGGAACAAAGCTTCCTGGAAGCGGCAGCTTCGGTGGCAGCGGCAGCGGCAGCCTCGAGTACTTGGAGCTTCGATGGTAGCAGCAGCTTCAGTAGCAGCTGTAGTGGTAGCTTCGAGTACCTGGAGCTTCGGTGGCCGCGGCAACTTCAGTAGCAGCGGCTGCGGCAGCTTCAGTAGCAACGGCAATGGCAACGGCAGCTTCAGTAGCAGCGGCGACTTCCTTGAAGAACTTCGAACTTTCAAGTTCCAATTGCTTGCCTCAAACTTCGAACTGCCAGTGCTGACAAAACAATGGCCGAATCCCAGAGAAACAATTCTCCATTTGTTTTGTTCTCGCTTCTCAGAGAAACAAAGAAGAAAGCAATCCCTAATGCCTAAATCCCCAATGACGGCCAATTGGGCCACATGCCCGATTCCCTCTTCATTCTTTAATTTTTCTGATTTTCTCTTTTATTTGGCTAAAAAGACGATAATGCCCATGTAGTATAAATGGTCTAAATAAAAAAATTGGATAAAACGGTAACTTCAAAAAAATTACCAAAACCCACCGGGTTTATCAATAACCGCCGGTTCTAGCGGTTCTATGGTTAAACCGTCCGGGTCGAACGGGTCAAGGCGGGTTCTTTGCAACTCCGATCTAACTAGAAAACCAGTCCGGTTTCATGACCGGGCCACCGGTTTGACCGGTCCGACCGCCGGGCCGGGCCGAGTTTAATAACTATAGCAGAAACGATCTTGTTAAGAACCCGGCCCGGTTTCATGGCCGGTTCACCGGGTTGACCGGTTGAACTGCCGGGCCGGGCCGGGTTTAATAACTATGCTTTATTCTTTTTTTTTTTTTAGGATTTTTGCATCTAGATATTATACTTATATGTTACGTGCTACATGCTGTTATGTGTGTATTTATTTTAATTTATATCTTATTCGTTTTACTGTATATTATTAATGCATGACGTCACCACACTAGTCTAACGCTAGTTGTGGCTTCCCACTCCACTTAGAAATGGGGTAGTCCAACATTAGACCCCTTAGATCGTCCATGTGTTACATTCATCTTTTGCGTGACATTCATTATATTTTCATGCATATTTTTTAGGATTTTTTTCTCATTTGCATGATATTTCCTATTATATTATTCTCTACCCTTTACCCTCTACATGTGTTAATCATATCATTTAGAATTGTATTTTATTTAAAAAATTGTAAAATAAATTAGTTTATTTACTTGTCTAAATTAGGAGAATTACTTTTTGAATATAGGAAATGAGCAATTATAATTTTTTAGTTTAAATACCCCGTTGATTCATATATAAGAAAAATTATGTCATGAGTTTTTACCTCCCATATCCATTATGTTGCATTCCCCATTCTTTGCCCATTTATACCTAGATATATAATTTAATTTTCTTTTCTTTTCTTTGAATTTCATATATGCATGCTCATGACCTTTTTAAGAGATTATTTTGGATTTTGCAATTAATGCGATTGGTATCAATTAAACCATTGAATGGACATTTTATCCCTTCTGATATTTTCTATAAATTTAGATTTGCATTCATGTAGAAAAATTTCAAACGTGATAAATTTAAGGGTTGGATTAGGAAAATTTTGATTAAACTTCGCAACTAACTTAGACTAGGTTGAAATGGTGCCTTAGGTTTGAAACCTTTGTTTTCCTTTTCTTCAAATATGACTCTCGAACTCATTTTTTTCTTGTTTTTCAAGACCTGGAGTTGTCGAAAAGAGTTTTATTTTATTTATGTTTTATTTTAATTTTGTTAAAAAAATATTTTTTGGGTGATTTGATACATCCAAACTCAATATCAAGTGACGACTCTCATTTTTTCTTAAAAACTTTTTTAAATTAAATTTTGGACTTAAACTGTCGTATTCTTTAAAGTTTCATTTTAGATCTTTTTTTACTTATTTTTAAATAAAAATAACATCTTTTGTAAATGCGTTTTTATCGCAAAAATGGGGCGCGAAAGGTGTAGTGATTGATATTCTTCAAATGTAAATTCTATAATAATAATAATAAGTGATGTATATCTTTAAATTCATAAGTGATGCATTCAAAACGTTAATGTTTATAATTGATAGTGCATAAAAATTTTATCTTAAATAAATTATTAGTTAGTCGAGAAATGTCAACTAAATTTTATCAGCGAAAGCATTGTATTCGGAACAGGCTGCTCAGGGGAAGCAGGTTTAACTCTGGTTTTTCATTTTTCTTTTTCTTTGTCTTACGTGGTATGTAGGATTCCTCTACACGAGGAGAACAAGCCAGTGAATATTCTGCTTTTGTTTGCACACGGATTATTTTTTCCCTAGTGTGATGATAGGTGCATGCTGGCCTTGAGTTGATTGCCTAAAGCGCATTTTCATTAATGAGATTTCCACCAGCCGACAACCTACTCTTTTAATAATTCTTAAACAGCATTATCGTTTGTTTGATACTATTAAAATAAGAAATAAAATTCCTATCCTTTCTTGTAAATGTCTTTCTGCTTTACTAACTGAATGCTAATTAAACCAGCACTGGCAAATAGCAACTCTTGAAAGCAGAATTGCTACTACTAGAAAGTAAACAAGGTTGCTTCTGTGGGGTTTTTTCTCTGATCTGAAGCTCCCCATAGCTTCAGCTGTAAACGTTTTCTCGGTCATTATTAGCCGTCAGAATTTCGACAACCCCCAACACTCCCTCTCTCTCTCTCTCTCTCTCACCCTCACCGAGCAGTGGCAGCTGCCTCCGCATTTTCAGCCATGACAAGAAGGTGTGTTTTTAATTAACGTTACAAGTTTTCGGATGGATGTAATTAATAATCGAAAAAGAGAAATGCATGGGGGAGTAGAGAAGGAATGGAAAAGCAATGCCAAAGAGGGCAGCAAAATTCTCATAGTAGCTGTATTTGGTAGGCCACTGTTTGCAATTTAGGCATCGAACTAAGCCCAAAAAAATCACGTCAAGAAAATTCTAGGCAAAATTCAATTAAAACTGGGATTGGTGGCTTCAGAAAAAAAATTAAATGAAATCAACAAGATATGTTGACAAAGTAAAATTACTCAATATACGCCTGTTACAATCATGTTATATTCTACAGGCTAGAAGGGAAGGTAGCACTGATAACCGGGGGAGCCAGCGGCATTGGAGAATGCACTGCGAAACTCTTCTCCCAGCACGGTGCCAAAGTTGCAATCGCCGATATCAAAGACGAACTCGGCCACTCCCTCTCCGACGCCTTGGGTTCATCTAATAGTACCTACATCCATTGTGATGTCACCAATGAAGATCACATCAAAAATGCCGTGGATAAAACAGTAGCAACTTATGGAAAATTGGACATCATGTTCAATAATGCAGGAATTGCTGATCCCAACAAGGCCCAAATCATTGACAACGAAAAATCAATGTTTTCAGAATCGGATCGGACCGGCCAGTTCAATCGGTTGGACCGTGAACCGGACAGGCCAACGGTTCGGTCTAGAGCTAAACCCGGAGAGTAATCAAGAACCGCTGGAAACCGGATGACTCGGACGAACCGGAAAACCCCGCTTAGACCGTGAACCGGCGGTTTTTAAAACTTTTCAAAATGAATTTCCAAATTGCAGTCGCCAAGAGCCGAACACCAAATCTTATGTTTGTCATAAGAAGCCCTTACCACTAAACCATAGGCAGCGGACAGAATTATTTGGTGCAGATATCTACTTAACTTATTAAATGAAAAACTAAAAACACCCTAAACCTAAGATACATCAAACTTATTTCTTTGTATATAAAAAATATATAAATGCAAAGATAGTAATAATTGTTAGTATATGTATATATATAATAAATTAGGTGCATTAAATGTGTTAGGACAACCGTTAAAAAAATCCTTTAATAAAATAGTTTTTTCAAATTATTTTTTAAATTTTTGTAGAAAAATGTACCACAACGATGTAATATGTGTAGAATAAAAATAATCAAGAAATAAATTTGTGAAAAAATAAAAAAATTAAAAAAATGACAATCCAAACAAGGTCTAGTTTGGTAACTAAATTGAATTGTTTAGATAAGTTATTGTTTTAAAAAATTTTAATTACATCAGAAACACTTGTGCTTTACATCTTAAATATATTGTTGGTATATCTATGTTTGTTAATGTACTCCCCTTGATTATTAATGTAATCCCCTTGATTTTTTAATTTGTGAAAATAAATAAAAATACTTCGACTTTTAATTTCAGTTACAATCTCACAATAAAATAATGGTTGAAATGCAATAATAGATAGAAAGATTGAGTAGGGATATTCTTGCTCAATTGACATTGTAGACAAGTATTTAGGAAAAAAATTGATAAGTAATTATTATTTTTAAAAATATTTATAATTACATTGTACACATTCGTACTTTACATCATGACTCCTTGATTTTTTTTTATTTGTGTGAATAAACAAAATACTTAAAAATTTTAATTTCAATTACAATCTCAAAACAATATTGTAGGTAGTAAGATTGAATAAGGATATTGTTACCTAACTGACTGGTAAATAAATATTAAATAAGGGAACATTGATAAATAATTGGGCGCTAATAACAATTTTCTAATGGGCAAAAAATGTGAATATGGAGAATTTTTTTCTTTCCAATGAATATGGACTGAGTGAGAAAGTCAAATGGCCGAATTGAAAACACAAATTTGAAAAAAGTTAAAAAAGAATTATTTTTTAACCCAAATTATTTAATGCTACAACCACTCACTTTTATCTCATTTTTTGTTTCTTATCAAGTTTGCATTTCTATTTTCGATTCTCTTGACTTCCTTCGAACTCCAAACTTTCTTTTTTAAATTGCAATCTCTAAATCCCAAAGGCATAAATTAAAATTTAAGTTTACAATGTCAAATACTCATAGACATGAATTTTGTATAATTTCAAAATATTGTGATATTTTTGGGTTAGATTTAAGATTATTTTGGTAGATATAATTGAAATTGAAATGAAATTTATTTGTTTTAACTTATAATTTAAAAAATTTATTTTTGAAAATCCAAGTTATTCAAAAATAGTAAACTTTTCATCATATAAAGTTTTAAATTAGTCTATTGCATGTCTTATTTTGTGCATATATATATATATATTTATATTTATATAAATTATTTTTTAAAAAATTCATTGAACCGAGGTTGAACTGGTCCGACCGATTGAATCTCGATCCTTTCACTTAACCGGTTCAATTGACGGTCCGAGTTTTAAAACATTGCGAAAAATCAGACTTCGAATGCGTCCTGAGGATCAATGTAACGGGGTTTTTCTTGGGATGAAACATGCTGCTAGAGTCATGGTCCCTGCTCGAAGCGGAAGCATAATTTCCTCGGCCAGCTTAGCCTCAGGGATTGGCGGTGCGGCATCGCATGCTTATACTTGTTCAAACTTCAAAGCACGCTGTAGTTGGGCTGACCAGAAATTTGGCGGTAGAGCTGGGCAATTTGGGATCAGAGTCAATTGCTTTTCACCCTTTGCATGCGCAACACCTCTATCCACCATATTCGTGGGGCTTGAGGACGAAGCTTTTGAGAATGCCATGAATTCGATGTCAAATCTTAGATGTAAGCAATATCTATTTGGAACTCAATTTCACCGTGGTGTGCAGATAAATTATGCACAAGGGGGCTGCCTAAATTTGTTCCTATATCCAAACATTTTGGTTTGTTCCGAGTTTTTTCCTTTTTCCTTCCTCCCCCCCCCCGGGGGAAGTCTTGCGAGCTTCTAGAGCTTCGTAAAGATATACAGCCCTCGTTGGTGCTTGAAATTAATAATTAATTTGGGACGCAACTGTCGGAATTCGCATATAATCGGACGGAGCAATTGCAAGTGTTTGATGAAAATCACCACTAGCTGCCTTGTCGAATATATATAACGACCATCTTCACATGGTTATTTAGTTGGCTTGTCAAATGAATATTCGTTGGCATGTACAATGATTCAACTGGAGACATTGACCACAGTATATAGTTTTCAACCCAAAACAGTAGTAGTTAATACGTAATTTCCCATCTCTTGTGGGGAGGACTTGAACAATTACATATATCACACGTACGATATCGGATGGACACTATATATGTTCTAAACAGTTATCAATGAAGAAAGAGGAGATGTAAATGTAAATGCGCTGTGAGTATTTATTAGATGAAAGAGCTTGTGATCCCCGTTGTGACCAGTAGTAGAGACTAGAGAGAATTAAGCGCAGCAGAAAATTAAGACTTCTTCGAGTTTAACCACGGTATTTTATATCTATATATATATATATATATGTATGTATGTATGTAAAAGTGAATAGGGAGCACTTTTGAGATACTCCCACGTCACATGCTTCACTGCTCAATTTGTTTAAGATTCGCCGAAGCACTCGTCATGGAAGAGTATTAACAACGCTAAAACCACCGTCACAAGAAGTTTGAGTCCACTAACATAACCAGCTTGCTTCATTGCTGGCCAAATATAGGCTAGTGCGGCTTAATCGAGCTACATCCTCACCTTTCAAACTCTTCCCTTTCAGATCAGTCACCCCTAGGTATATAAAGGTTTCCTGTCGAGCAATTTCTTCTTCAGAAGAATTAATCCGTCCTCCTATGGCAGTTGTTAAGGTGACACATTGTTGACTCGTGCGCCATGTTCCCCAGGCTCGGTTGATGAATGCTTAGCTAGACCCAAAATTCCATATATGCTTTGTGATTGCATAGGCAGGAGTTCCTAGGATCACACATGCATGCTCTTGGCTGTGAATGATATGCATGATTCTCGCAGCGCCCCACTTTGCATCCGCCACTGCTTATAATGATGGACGATTAAATGGCAAAAAAACGTTTTCTCCTTAAGCGTCAGAAGGTATCTGTTGTCCAAGCGCCTGCTAAGGTTATTTTTTTCTTGTTTTTTTTGGAGCTGGAATTGATCGCAGGATCTAATTAACATGATTTAATTTAACAACACAAGGGGGTATAAGAAATCGTCTTGGATGAAATTAAAAAATGAAGAAACCAAGTTTCGTTTCTGCTGAATCATTGTGGTGGATTCTTGCAATTCTAGCTTATGTGCATGCTGCAACTTTCAACTGGAAACCGTTTTAAGTGCTTAAAGGAAGAATATATCTGCAGTTACCAAGTGCTCTGTGGCTTTCTGCTGAGAATAGTGACCTGAAGTATACTAACAACTGATATCACAAAGGTATTCTGTAGATAGAATCTACAAATGTATGTGGTTCAGCGTTTACCCAAGTCTCTGTGACATCTTGAAGGTTCTGAGTCTTCTGCAGACTCTGTGTCAATTATAGAGGAAAAGTAGAACAGAATGGTCGGTCGAACCAATGCAGGTTGGCTGGTGAAGCTAATTAATAGGATTTGAAACAGAGTAACAGAGTTCTGTACTTCGAATGGAGAGATGTGCATACCTTGTCCTTCCAAGGGTTTGTTTGGATTGAGCATTATTTCTCCAATTTTATTTGCTTACATCGAGCCTGTTTGGAACCTAAATTTTTTGGGAGTTTGTCTAAAACTTTACTGTAGTGCACTGTAGAAGTTTTTGAAAAAATTTTGTAGAAGTTTTTGTTAGATGAAAAATTTTGTAAAAGTTTTTGTAAGGTGAAAAACTTTTTTTTTTCTTTTTTTTTCTTTCCCTTTCTTTTTCTTTTTCTTTTTCTTTTTCTTTTTCTTTCTTTCCTTTTTCTTTTCTTTCCTCTCTTTTTCTTCTTCTTCTTCTTCTTCTTCTTCCCCGTTACCTCCACCACCCCCCGCTGCAACTCCACCTCTCGCCGTCCCCCTCTGCCCCTTCCCCCTCCCCCCGCCTTCCCTCTCTCCCCCGCCGTCCCCCTCCCCCCCCCGCAGCCCCCTCTGCCCCTCCCCCTTCCCTCTCTCCCCTGCCGTCCCCTCCCTGCCTTCCCCCTCCCCCCGCCGCCCTCTCTACCCATCTTCCTCCCCGCAGCCCCCTCTGCCTCCCCCGCCTCCTCTCTCCCCTGCCGTCCCCTCTGCCGGCCTCCCCCCGCCGCCTCTCTCTCCCCCATCTTCCCTCCCGCAGCCCCCTGCCCCTCCCCCGCCTTCCCTCTCTCCCCACATTCCCCTCCCCCGCAGCCTCTCTCTCCCCCCGCCTTCCCCCCCGCAGCCCCCCTCTGCCCCTCCTCCCGCCTTCCCTCTCTCCCCGCCGGTCCCCCTCCCTGCCCCTTCCCCCTCCCCGCCGCCTCTCTCTCCCCATCTTCCCCCGCAGCCCCCTCTGCCCCTTCCCCCCCTCTGCTTCCCTCTCTCCCCCGCCGCCCCTTCCCCTTCCCCTCCCCCTCTGCCCCCCCGTCCCTTCCCCTCCCCCCTCTGCCTCTTGGTCGCCCCTCTCTGTGCCAGACGTAAGAGAGAAAAAAAAAAAAGACAAGGAGGATGATGGCAGGGGAGGAAGAGGGGGAGAGGGAAAAAAATGGGGAAAAAAAAAAAGACCGGCATCGGGACCGGAAATTGGTGACGGAGCCGGCAATGGAGGTGGTAGTGAGGGAGGAAGAAGAAGAAAAGAGGAAGGGAATTTTTTTTTTTTTTGTTGTGTTTTGGATATTTTAAGTGTGTAGGTTAAAAACTTTGATAAGTTTATTGGGGTTCCTGTAGCAAAAGTTGTTAAAAAACTAGTTTTATACAAACTTGGTAAAAAACCAAGCTTCCAAACAGGCCCATCATCATTACAATTTTCAATACACCTTTTTATCTTCCCAATTATCTTTTTATCTCACATACATCACGTCATAAAAAGTGCTACAGTAAAAATATCCCAAATAACTTACAATCCAAACAAACCCTATGATTAGAATTTAGTTGGGCAGGCCGAATGCAAACTATTTTATGCGTGATGTGAAACTTGCGTCTTTTTTCCTCGAAATCTCGTGTAACCAGCTGCTGAAACGTACACTTTTTCAATGGGGATGGTTAGCGTTCATTCTTCCTTTAAGAATGAGAATTCAGCTATAATTTTCACCACTTTATATGTACCATTTTTTACTTTTTTATGTTTAATACCACTATATCCATTACATGCTTCAGTCTCCATCTGGAAGGTGTGGCGAATTTTATGTGCGAGAAAATACTCACAAAGAATAAGGGGAAAAGAAGATCTCTTTTTGAAATGCATGCTCTCTATCAAACAGGCCCAACTAAACTATTCACTTGGTTGAGTCGTTCCAATGCACATGCGTCAAGAATTCATCTACTTTCTTTGTTGAACTCAAACAATTTGTGATACAATGCAATTAGTGCATGTTGTAATTCAGGAATCGACAAGCGTAAAACGTTAACATTTGAAAATTAAACAGAAGAATAAGTAAGTTTGGCCCTTCATTAGATCAAAGAGTGTGGCTCTCTCATGAATTCCGTCCCTTTAGACAACTAATATCCGCGCACAAATAGGTCTTCTTTTTTCGCTGGTGGTGGTGGTGGGGTTTGTTTCACGTACGGAACAGAAAGATCGAAGTATTATTTCAACACCTTATTAACTGGTATACATGGTCGATCCTTCAGCCCAGAGGTCAGACAAGTTGAACATCATTATCCTCATTTATAACACATGGAAAGTAGCTTCAGCCTCCTTTGTTTTTCTTCACTTATACAGTGTCCAATTCTGGTAGCAGTTGTGGTAATTTAATTCTTCTTGATTTTCTCTGTACTTCTTCCATCCCATACTGTCGCCCCCCCAAATCGAAATTTAACACAATCATGTCGATCAATCATAAAATTACGAAGTGCTAGAAAAGCCCTTGGCATTGGTTGGCTTTTAACCTATTTTTCGCAACTCAAGTAGTAGCAACTAGCAACTAAATTTTTAGTATAAATGCCAGGCTAGCCCATAGAGCATCCCATTGGTTAGGATCTCCCAAGTCATTGGCAACCTACAAACTGTTAAAGATGAACGGTTGCTCCTCTAATTCATCAAATGGTCTAACCAACAAAAGGTAAACTCACTACTTATAATCTGTTCGTCATCTGGTCCAGACTTCACTTCTTTCTTTTAATTTCCCAATTAATTAATTCAGGTAACTAACTATCGTATGGAAATTGGAAACCACTCCTCCGTCCCAAAAACGGATGCAGATTAGAAGGCAAAGTTGCCATTATCACTGGTGGTGCAAGCGGCTTCGGTGAAAGCACCGTGCGACTTTTCGTACAGCACGGGGCAAGAGTAATCATTGCTGACGTTCAGGATGACTTGGGACACTCCCTCCGTGAAGAACTCAGTTCTTCTGGAGATGTTACCTTCGTCCATTGTGATGTTACTAAAGACATTGACGTTAAAAATCTGGTTGATCTCGCCATGTCCCAGTATGGCAAGCTGGATATAATGTACAACAATGCCGGGATCCCCGGAAACTTAGATTTCACCATTGTAGATGCAGATAATGAAAACTTCAAAAGGGTTTTCGACGTGAACGTTTACGGTGCATTCTTGGGAGCCAAATATGCTGCAAAGGTTATGATCCCAGCTAAGAAGGGGGTGATCCTCTTTACTTCCAGTCTTGCTTCGGTTTCTTGCGGGGAGTCACCGCATTCTTACACCGTGTCGAAGCACGCTGTCGTGG